AAAACAGAATAATGAGACATGAAGTCATTAATTGAGAAGTATCGACGTTTATGCTTAGTCAATTTTCTGCTGAGAAAAACTTTAAAACATTGTTTCTTAATCGCCGTTCTTATTGTAAGTGGTCGGTACGTTTGGTATCATTTAATAGTTTTGTCTTTTTTTAATTTAAAACTGCAAATTATATTTTTGTATTTGAATCTGGATATAGCATATTCAAGCAAGAATAACAAATTATATCAATTGACACAGGTGAAAGAGACAAAAAAGAACGCTCTTTGATATCAAATGCCATAGTTTAAAATAGTTGGGATTAAAACAAAGAACATCAATAATGATATATATCAGGTGGCACAAAAATATGTTGTGTAAATTTAAATGTCCAATCTATATTTTATCTCAATGTAGTTGAATGCTTTTGGGTGTGGGTGTGGGCGAGGAGGATATCTACATCCACACCCACACCCTCAAGTTTTCGATGAATCGAAAAGAATACTGAAGAATAGTACCAGTTGATGATGATATCTACTATTTCGTTCGAAATCATAATTATATTCAATTAAGACTAGTATGTCTCTCGTATTTTGAACTAATTCAACATGAAGATAGAGTTGATTTGTATGTTGACTCTTTGTTTTAGGTAGAATTGTAAATATTTTCGTTCGTTTAGCTTGTGTCAATAATTCATCTAATATAAATGACGACTGTAGTACATGAATAAAAAGTAATGTATACGGTTTCAATGGTTTAAAATCAGGTAAATTTTTAATAGTATTATTATTTGATTCATTTTTATATATTTTTTTTTCTACAATAGATAAGAAAATCTATTGATAGAATACCAATCACAATTGTTAGAAATAATGCCAAAATATATAATAGAAATCCCATTAATATGGCACCAATATAATCGAATAAATTTGAACTAGATGATAAAACGTGTTGCATATGTAATTGAAAGAATTGAGAAACGATCTAAAATAGAACGTAATTGAATTTGGATAAGAATTCTTGAACCTAATAATAAAATGAATTATAAAAGCAAAAAATGAAAGCAGAAAAAAAAATTGTTTATAGGATGAAGGTGACTACTAAATGGATTGAGCAAGAAAAGTATTGGATGAATAACAATGTTTTGTTTGAAGTTGAATTTTTATTGCATATTTTTTAAATTGTGGATCTTGTTCTATCATGGATGACCATAGTTCATAAAATTTTCTACTGAATTGACATCGAGAACCCCAATCGAATAAATAATGTAGATGAATTAATTTATGTGTTCGTTTTAATTGCAATTTATTAGCTAATTGAATTTTTCCTTGTTCAATAAAACGAAATAATTCACGACGAAGTCTAGGAAATGTTAATTTCGTTAAAATAATTTGTTTTTGTTGTTGTTGCTGTTGAATAGGATAGAATTTGGCATAAAATTCTCGTAGATGATATTCAACAAAATCTAATGAATATCCATTGACAAGAAATGTTGCTTCAATATAACGTCGTTCTTCTTCAAAATCTTCAAATGAACTACACAGGAGACCAGCACGAATAAGACTCCATTGAAACCATTGTCGATGAAATAATCGTGGATGATCTTTTGTATATGGTAATAGAAATGGTTGTTGACGACTATGTTGATCATGTGAAATTCGAGTATAGAGTGAACCTTGTCGATTTTCTATGGAAATTTCAAGAAATTGAACGTTACTACCCGTACATGTGATTAGTTTAATATTTGAATCGAATGATTTTTGAACTTTTTCAAATAGAACCGGTAGAAGATCAAGTGATTCACGCCATGTAAAAAAACCGCTCTGTTGACAACGACCATAGAAGAGATCACGTAGACGAAATTCTCGAACAAGAGTTAATTGCCAATCATAGAGATAAATATTCATTAATAATTCCAGGTATGATAAATTCAATGGATATCCTTTGATATAACGATAAATTTTGTTTTTATAAATGAAAAAAAGATTTCTTAAAATTAATGCTGTTAATTCTTCAATTGTTTCACTTGATAATTTACCATATCGACCTGTCATACTACGATTGATAAGAAATTGATTTAATGTTCGAAGAAGTGTTGAATGTTTTAAATCCGTTGATAGATTAAGAATTTTAAACGTAACAAAATATGTTGTCCGTTGAAGAAGACCTTGTTGTATACAATAATAATCTAGTTTTTTTATAAAATCATTTTCATCAAGAAATATTGTTGATTGTGAGCAATTTTCAAAGTATGGTTTAACAAGTTGTTCAAGATAATTAGCTATGAGAGCGATGGGACTCCACTGAAAAGAAGATAATCTTGGTTGAACTATGATTGAATCATTCTGATTGAGATCAGGTAAAAAATCGAGATTTGGAAGTTGAATCTTAGTAGATTGTTTAATTATAAATTTGATTTGAAGATCTTTACTGATGAGTTTTCGTTGAAGAAGACTTTTTAAATCAGAATCAATAGATTGAAGAATTTTTTCCAAATAAAATTGTTCACTATTGAAATCATCGATAGTTCCAATGAATTCATAAGTAGCCGTTGAATGTTGCATATAATCCATTGTTTTCTGTTGAAATTCATCAATTTGACCAAGATAATACATATTTTGATGATTAGCTGTTCGTCGAAGAATAAGATGATTTTTTTCTAATTGATATTTAATTGATTTCAATAGTTGTTGTTCATATAGAGCACGTTCTTCAAGAGCACGAGGTATAGGTTGAAGAAACGATTCATGAAATAATTGTTGAATTTCTTTTTCAAAATTTATTCGTCTCGATAAATCGACAGGATATTTAGTAAAAAGTGCAGTTAGATCTCGTCGTAGAGGTGCCATTTTTTTAGTAAGAATTTCGGCAAGTGTTGTTAAAGATGATTTTGAAAGAATATGTATTTGACAAGGTGGTACATAAGTTGGACCACGATTAAGAAAGTTTCGTTGTTCATCGGTTAAATGATATCGATTGGTGTGTTGAATAAGACTAGGTGAACAAGTTAAGTTTGATTTGTTTTCAGTAATGATGCTCCAACGGTGAACCAAATCTAATTCTTGACCGTTGGAGCATTGTCGAAAAAAACATATTTTTAATCGATAAAGCCGTATAAGATGTTCATTAATATTTTTAAAACGTTCTTCCATCAAATTGAACATTTTTTCATTTAATTTTTGATGTATTGAACCCGATTTTTGATTCAATTGCAATTCAGACATTAGTTTATCATAATTGATTCTATATTCATTCATTTTTGTTTCAGCTACTGCTAAATAAACTAATATCATATGACATTTTGTTCGTTGTAATACTTTTTCAGCACGATCTTGTAGATGTTGACGAATATTGTCATCTTGAATTGTCTTTAATGATAACGGAGAAGGTATATCAAGTGATTGAAAAGCTTTTGGTAGATGATTATGAGCAAGACGTTGTTTTAAAATGGCAGCTTCAAATTTAGAAATTTCTTTCTGAGATTTAACTTTAAATATATTGTTAAAGATTTCTTTTTGAAATTCATTTGGATTTTCATTTTCAAATTCGAATTCAATCAATCGATCTTTATAATCATATTCAACAATTGATATTAAACTTTCAATGGGTATTTTATAGATTGACATACCATATTGTTGAATAAATTTTTCAATTCCTTGTTCAATTTCATTGGTTAAAATATACTTGAATTTTTCTTGTTTCATTTGTTCTAATTTAGATTGATAATCTAGAAGTTGATTTTGAAAATTTTCTAATATTCGATTGACAAACACGATACAGGGATCATGGTCTAGATTGCCATTGGGATCAGTAGCTGATGTATGACCATGTGTAAACATTTTTTGTTTTACTTCTTCAGGACAGAAGAAAATTTTTTTTAAATTTGAATTTCCTGTTCTCATAGTTCTTTTTAATTTTAATTCACCAGTACCTGATTGTAAATAAATCGTCCATAATAGTCGATCTAATTTGACAGATTCTATTTGATGAATAAGAAAAGCTATATCTCTTAAAGATTCAATATTGATCAAGGTAGATGATTTTCGAATTAGAGAACTAATCATTTCATCGAAAGCTTTATAATTTTTTGTTAAATACTTTGGAATCAATTCAATTTCTTCCATAGGTTTTTCATTGTCTTCTTGATCTTCAGCAAACATAGAAAGTAGACTTAATGTTTGTGATAAATGTTCTTGTTGTTCACTAACAGCAATACTATCATCAATTGTATCGATAAACATATTATAATCATTATGGTTGTTTTCATCATCTGAATCAAATAGCGATATTGAATTAGCAAACTGTGTTCTGATATTTTCGTCTTCATCATCGTTATCATCACCATATCGATGAAAAATATCATCAAATCGATCAATAGTTCGTTGAATAGTTGGATTTTGATCAGTCATATTTATTTGAAATTAATTAAACCATAGAATATCGATGTCGATGGTTGTTGTTTTTTTTTTGTTTTTTTTTTGAAGACAAATCTAGAAAGAGAAATATCTAATTAAAACTATTCGAGAGTACTACAGGATAAAAGTGATTTATTTTGAATGGAATGAATTCTTTTTTGGAAGAAAACAAAAAGCATGAGGATGATGATTGAAGCATGCAGAAATGGCTGTAAAGATAAAGAAAAGAAAAACTGAATAGATATGTGATTATTGAAGATGACAACGAATAAGTCACTGTTCATAGATTAGTATATTGTTATTCCGACATGTAACCATCATTATGATGAGCCGTATCACTATTCACAGAAGGCACCGAAGGATAGATATGTCTTCGACGATGTATTGTTCTTTGATTGGCTAAATCTCTTGCTTTGAATTCGTCGAATTGTTGTTCAAGTCGATTTAACTGCTGTTGTTGTTTTTGCATAAGTTCTTGAAGTTGTTGTTGTTCTTGTGAATGATATGTTTTTTTTTCGTTATACATAATAATAATTTTTGACCAAGTTTTACATTTGATCGACAAAATAAAAAATGCATAAAAGTAAGTAGAATAACGATAACTAAAAATATTTGTGTCAAATCTCTCCAACTTGACAGATTTGGTAATGTATATGCATGATGATCTCGAATTGTATTTAACATAATAGTAGTATTAATCGAACTGTTCGTAAGAACATTTATCATATCATGATGTTCGGTAATTTTTCCGTAAATAGCATTTATGTGATTTTTAGTCTCGTCACCACCACCAAGCCATCGTTTCTGTCTTCGATTTTGATTTTGATTTTGATTTTGATTTTGATTATAATTTTCAAATTGGATGCATGGATGTTTATCTAATATTTCTCGAATTTCTTTTAACGTTGTTAGACGTGGATGACATTGGCTAATATTATGTTCATGATCAATATTTTCATCGATGGTATATTCATTGGAATGAACCATTTTTGAATAGATAACCATGAAAAGTAAATAGTAAATGATTTTGTAACGCATCTTTATATTCTTCAAGTAGATCTAAAATGATGATAATATATATATATGTTTATATGAATATGATTTAAAGTGCAAATCGGAAAAAAAGAAAAAGCAAAGGAAATATTGAATACTGTCCTTTTTTCATTCAGTCTATAGACTATATGATTAAAAATTCGATGGATGTTTTAAATTGGCACACCAAAGACCATTTCGTATAGTATGATATTGAGGTAAATTAAAAAGATGTCCTAAAGTATTGAGTTTTGCTTCGGTATGAGTGACAAATAATGAATGTACCATACGCCGAAATAAATCAGTCGTATTTGGTGGTAAAACAGCAATGATAGTACCATTATAAATGTTAACTTGATCATGAAATGGTTCGAGAAGTTTATTCGTTTGAAAGAATTATATTTGTTGTTCGATTTGTCTTTTAGAAAATTTAAAGCCATTTGGTGGTACTGGTATATTATTCAGAAATCTTGTTGTTGATTCATTTTGATTGAAACGACATGTATCCGTAGTTGTGGCATGCATTCGAGCATAATGAGCATTATCTTTATTGACTTCTATTGTAGTTTTCGGTACAAATGGCCAATACGTTGGATTTTCATCTAATAATAATTGAATTGCTTTTGAACATTGACTTGTATGTTGATAGAGTTACATCGTGCCTTTATTTGATATTATTGATGCAAGTTCTTTATTTAATGGAATCGTTTTAAAATTTTCTTTACCAAATAAAAGTTTCCGTATTAAATTATTGGCTACTTGACGATGATCTTGTAATCGTCCACCTAACGAAAATTTTGTTTCACAAATATAATCGAATTCATGACATGCACGTGTTAAAACGTAAATGAAATTTTTTGTATTACAATCTACTGGACAATTTAAAATAGATTCATAGCCATTAATAAAACGATGTCGATTGTAATTATCAAAAAGAACCGATAAAGTATTGTCCGTTGGTATACATAATTCACATTGATTACATTTGGACATTGCATAAAGACATTGAGGTGTTTCTAAACAAAATATACCTTCATGGATTGATCTTGGTTGTGCACCATGATATGAACATGTTTTCATATAGAATAGATCGACATCCATTTGTAAATAAAATTCAAACAATTGTGGTATTTCAGTATCACCTAAAGGAAGCAGGTCTTCGGTGCATTTCACTTGACCTAGTTGCCGAAGTCGGGATGAACGAAATAAATTCATAAATTCATGTAAACGAAAATAATTATGATCTAAAATTGACGTATCCATTTTGAATCGTTCCAATATTGGCGGAAAATATTTCTGATATTGTGTCATCATGAATGATCCTGCTGGTGGATGAGGATTTTGAATTTGAAATGAAGCCGGATATAAACTAGGTTGACGATGTGTTAATTCTTGTGTTGACAATAAATCCAATGGTATATTAGCTAATAATAGATCGGGTTCATGAGTATAAGTCATACTTGGAAATGTTGGTAAAATTGAACGACGTCTTTGATTGTAAATAGACAATGTACGTATCATATAATTTGGTTGAGTCGTCCTCGTTGTCGTCATGAAAGGTTTAGGTGGTGTAATTAAATCAATAACTGCGATATCTTGATTTGTTTTTCTTGATGGTGTAACTGAATGAGCACGTCGCTTTATTGCCGGTCGACGAGGTGAAGGTGTTGATAATCCTACAGCTGCCGATGCTAGTAGTTGATTTGTTGTAACTATTGTTGACGTTATATTTTGAGACTGTATTTTAGGTTGCGATGATGCCATTGGTGTAGAATATTGTACATCGATTGATGAATGGTGGCTATCATTTGTTTGATCATGATGATCATCATTATCATGTAAATCGAAGACGAGTGATGGAAAACGTTGTAAATTACGACGAGACATTTTTTTGGAAATTGAATCTAGAACAATAGAAAGCAAAAATGACGAATGCAATAAAGATCTAGATATAGTATGAAGAAGAACAAACAAACAAACAAACAAGCAAACAAACCAAAAAAAAAAGAAGAATAAACTATTGTCAATCGAGTTTTTCAATCATATTCTTGTTGTATTATTAACATGATAAAATTATTGACTCGTGTAAGTTAAACATGGTTTATAATCTTCATTATAAATAACATAATCATCTGATGTTGTTTGTGTTGAAATATCTGCCCTTTTATTTGTAGGACATTTGATAATGATGAAGAGTTTTTTGGGATTTCGTTTTTCTTCTCGATTAACTTTATGAATTATTTTAACCATTGAATCAATTAAACCTGATTCAAACATAACTCGATGATATCTTTCAGGCATATAAAAAAAATTTTATCTAATATTTTCCTTCTATATTTCATTGTTTGTTGTATTCTAGATGATTTCGCTTTAGGCATTTTGTTTTTTTCTTTGTCAATATGAAATCTACAAGGCAAGAAAAAAACCAAAAACAAAAAGGCGTCAAAATTTAAACGAAAATCATCTATTTAACAGTGAATTTCCCAAAAAAAAATTTCGATTAAATTACAGATATCATTGAGATGTTGGTCAAACTTTTGATCTACTAAATACAACTAGACCTTATCGAAAGGAATAGTCTGAAGTGAAAATTCATAACTAAATCATTTTTACTGACCTGTTGTTCATTATATGATCGACATATCCGTAAGAAATCGAATGAAGCTATAGCAGAATCGAACGCTCTTTATATACTATCCGGAGAGAAAGTGGACTTTGGATTCGGTTGTTTATTGCATTGTATCACGTCGATTAGGAAGACGTGCAGATTTTCAACAAAAATCTGCATGACGTCACGTATGTTGAGATTTGAATGTCAAAAACAAAATTCTTGCACGTAACTATCTTTGCTAGCTCGAAAATATGTGCAGAGTTATGTATATCTAGAAGAGAGAAGAAAAAACAAAGGAAAGAAAAAGATTATGATAATATTCGAGCATAAATAGGTTTATATGTTCTGGCAAGAAGAATGAAACGATTACGATGCTGAAAATTTTCGGAAAGAACTCAATTTTAATTTTTAAGCAGCTAGAAGATGTTCATTCATATTGTTGAAACGTTTGATCATAATATTGGACATGATTTGAGTTAATTGTCGATGTAAGGGACCCATACGTTCATTTTCTTTTAGTATAGCCATGGCATTTTCAAATTCGATTCGATATTGATTGGCTCGTGCTTCAGTAGCTGCCATATAAATCTTTAGCATATCAAATTTAGTAGATTTTAAAATGTTTGTAGATCAATCCTTTAGATGTTGATACATATGTTTATCTGCCATCGTATCCATTGATGTAGGTGTAGATATTTCAAGTTGATCGAAAGATTTTGGTAGACAATGGAGAGCAAGACGTTGTTTTAAAATGGCAACTTCTAGTTTTGATTTCTCTTTATCGAATTTCTTTTGTGTAAGATATTCGAAAAGTTGTTTCTGGTATACATTGAAATTTGTATCACAAAATTCAAACTGAAATAATCGATCAATAAAATTATATTTGATACGGATCATGTTTCTTTCAACAGTTAGTCGATAGAGAGCAATATCATGCGAATGACTATCATTTACCACAAATAGAAATCCACAGACACATCTATACATCATATCCACACTTGTGGTGAATAAAACAAATATGATCCATTCTGGTGACCAAATGGGGATTTTCAATTTAGGGATTTTTTTTTTAGGGATTTTTTTTATATACTATATGCTGTTCAAGTCACAACCGAACAGGGTCCCTGTTAGGGGTTCATCAGTACCAGTATACTGGGTACTGGTAACGCTGGTGACCAGAATCATCTCTCCGAGTTTCTGATAAGAAGAATTACGTTTCGAAATGATTCTAATGAAACTTGAGTATTACTGATACTGGTGACCAGTATTCATTGGACATGTAGACTAGTATAGGGGTGTACAACTCACGCTCACGCTCATGAGCATGAGCGGTTTTTGCTCGCGCTCTCCGTGAGCGTGAGCATTTCTCCTTTTACTTACAATATACAATATATAAGTAAAATTCAGTCAACTTTAGCTTGTACCCTGATGTTTTCGATGATTATTTGTGTACAGCGACTGTCAAAATGTTTGTAAACCATATT